AATTAAATAAAGTAATCCATATTGACAAAAACCTTAAAGCATTAACACATTCTTCACTAATGAAATTACTAGCCCACTAAAAAAAAATAAAATTTTAGTATAAAAATATTGTTTTTCTCCATTTCATTATAGCAATTAAATGAAATTTGTTTCTAATACTTAGTTAGTGAACATAACGGTTTTAACAGCAATGCTGTTAAAATATGATTTATAGCATTTTTGTATATTGAAATATGTGACTTCGTAAAAATAAACATTATCTTCTTGTAATAGAAAATACGAATTGAATTGTAAATATGCGTAAAATATGTTCGTGATGAAACGAAATAAAAACTCACCCCATTCTGAACAAATTAACGCGGATGTCCAGGAACGTTTTAGTCATTTGGCTGCCGATAACACGTCCATTTACATAAATGACAAGTCCATATACGTTTTGACATACGATTAGCAGAATATTTACAGCGTTATAGAACCATTTCATGTCTAAGCTTATGTTTAACTAGAGATTTAATAAAATTCTTGTTTTTAAAGTATAAGGATTTTAACTTATTTTTTATGTACAGCTTAGTTACCGTATATTTTAAAAAATTAAGATTATTTAAATTTTACTTATTTTATAAATTTTAAAATTAACTTCATTGCTTAAAAATAAAAATATTAAGTAGTTATAGAATTATTTATTTTTGACACTTTGGATATTCTAAGAAAAAGGATGAGCGATAAAAGCATTTTTCATTATTTTATCCTTAAAACAGATTTCGAAATGATGCAATTATTTTCCTACCACGAAGAGATAAGCGGATCAGCAGTCAAGCTTGAGATGAGAAGGTGCACCTAATGATCGAACAGCACTACCTTTATTTTCTTCTGTCTTTCTTCATTTTTCTCTTTTTATTGTTTTATTTTCAATCTTTTGTTCAAAAGAATTTTGATTATTGAACGTACGTTACAAAAACTAAAGTAGTTAAAAGCCTACAGTATTTAAGCATTTATTTTGAAATAAACGGGTACCAAACATTAATGTTAATTTTAATATGAAGCACTTCTTGGTTTCATAATTAAAAACGTGAAGGTATACAAAATTAGTTATTACCAGAACATACTGTTAAGCTGTATAGTCTCTTAGCTTTTAGAATATTAATTCCAAATATCAACAATGTGATATTATAAATTTTCAGTAAGTAGCATATGTACAGTCATGGTCAAATCAAACTTCCCTATAAAAAATGGCGACGTAGGGGAGGAGGCCCCATATATTATACATAGGTATACATGTGCATGTATAGGTCTGTGGTCTCCCACCACTCGCATATGAACATTTACGCAGGAAAATTAAAAATGATACTTATTTATTATTCATATTTTTTACTTATATACTAAATTTTGAAAATGTACAAATTTTGAAATCACTTGAAAATTGAAAATTATATTATTCTTTTACTAAATTACTTTTAATATTAATATCGTCAAAATTAGGATATTTAGTATTCCTGGTCCTTTATATCGCCATCTTCCTTAGGGAAGCATGATTTGATTACTAGTGTATAACCATTTTTCTTAAATTAAATAGCATTAACTTAAATATAATTTGTATATAATCTTTGACTTTTTTTTATTAAGGGTGTGTCAAAATTACTATCGTCTATTACATATTTTACGCTTTCAATACGTAATCTACTGAAAAATATTTCTGTATTAAGAAATATTAATTAAAAAATATTCAAATTTAGAATAGTAATGATAAAGGCTCTGAATAAATTTGTTATATAATTATAATTAATATATATTACATGAATTTGAACAAATACTATATAAATATTCATGAATCATATACTATAATGTATAGAATTTATTCATTTATACAATTTTCTATAAAAAATAATATGCAAAACAATGTTTATATCACAAACACGCAATCTAATAAAGAGAACAGTTTCCCTCAACCAGTAGGAAACACGGTAGCAATTTGATTTCAAAAATTGAGTTAGAAGTATGCAAAGCGGGACCATTATTAATGGACGTTTATATACGACCATAATGAGAATGAGGGGTCTTTTGATCTCTCAACCCTCCTGCAAGTTCCATTTCGTGTTTTAGTCATACCCCCAATGATGCTTCATGAAATTGTAGTTTGCAATAAACATTTGCTGCAATGTGTACTCTTCAAAATATAGAAGTTATATTAATTTATATTAATCATAAAAATTTATAACAACAATTTTTGTAACACCATATATTACATAAAACACTAGTTAAAATTAAAGGAATGCAAATATTTTCTTTTTTTTTATTTACATTATATTTATTGATTTAACCAAACATTCCTCTTTTTAATTTATAATTTTAAAAAACAATCAAAACTGTGGTTCTAAGTGCCAATATTAAACAGGAAGGATAAATTAAATCTTTGTCATTTCATGCAGTAGACTCTCGTTATATTGCCGCGACCGACGCTGTAGGAGTGACAAATTTGTTAAACTCCCAAGCTTTTATTTGAGGGGGGGGGGGGGGGGGGGGGAGATAGAAATGTATTATTTTAGTAGGTTATAATGGTGCAGATCTCAATAGAGTTCAAATCTCTCACGCGGCAATATAACGAGAGCCTACTTTAGATGAGAAACTTACTATAAAATATATTGTCATAGAGGTCACTAATAGCCGACATTATAAATTTAATTTAATTAAATAACTAAAAAATTAAAAAACACATAGGTATACAATATCCAAAATAATAAACTAAGAGATTAGATTGAAAAACTAGTTCTGAATACTTTGACAATCAAGAAGTCAACTTATAGTTTCTGATAGAACTCCTTTAAATATATTGTTAAAATCTAATTCTGTGGCAATAAAAAGTGTTTTCAATTTACCCATTAGTCTGATATAATTCCAAAATGACACTTATATCGTATCAGTTTGAAACTTAACACGTTCGGATCCACTTATTGTTAGATAGATCTACTCATACCAGAAAAGCGGTGGGGTTTAAAATCACTAAAATGGACAATATAGTTATCAAAGGAGCAATATGAACCTGAAACATCAGACTGGAACCTGACACACAATATTTTATAGAGTTTTGATATATTCCATGTAATCTTCGACTACGTTATGCGATACTGTGAAATGAGAAAGTAGTAAAGCTTTCTTATAATTTATAAAAATTTTCTAATTTCAAATTGCCAATTTTTTTTACGATTTATATTACAAATAAATATTTGTTATAAATTATATAAAAATATATGGTTTACACATATATATGTATTTTAAAAACACAGACTAAACTCCGAAAGAGTTAATTTATAACCTCTCTTTATCTCGTCCGAGCTGCATCCGTTACTCTGAACTAAAACATTTTAACTCTTCTAATTGAGCCATTCACAGGCAAAAATGATTAACTCCATTTTTTGATCCTTTTAAAATTTTAATACCAAAACACTTGATTTTTCTACCTTTTGTTTTTTGAAGTTAATCAATTTGACAAATGAGTGGGCTAATAATGTGTCATCCATCGGTGTAAGTGAAATGTTTATCTAGGATGGATCAAGTCGCCTAGCCTGATTAAAAGTATCAAGTATATACAGGGTTACAAACTATTATCTCGGAAACTATAACAGCTATCAACCTAATTCTTTTTTCAAATGGTACAAAGTGTCTGGTTATGTGATGTATAAAAATAGTTGTCTAGAATAGCTATCATGGGGTCAAAATAAACTGACGTCGTCTCTTTTAAATAGAATGCCATATTATTATTAATATTTTTTAAATAGCATTTATCAAACTGAATAACATTTATTCAAACCATTTTTTTACATTCCTAATAATTAACGATTTATGGTAAAGGGAACATCAAAGAAGCGATTACGCGGAGGCATCGAAAGAGAACCAAAACAGACGTATTTTACCTGAAAATTTATTTTATTAAATATTAAAAATGACGACTATTTATTTGTAAACATGTATTTCTTCCTTTTCTAATATTATGACTTTTATAATATTGTATATCAGACAACATTATTGCAGGTACTGACTTACAAGAATTTTGCATTCGATTTTTTCTTGTGAAGGTATTTGAAACACAAAGAAGGTATTCTAACTAGCACAAAAGATGATATAAAAACTTGAATACAAAATACTTGTCAGTTGGTAAATACAATAATACTGTCTGATGTACGTTATAACGTCATCATTTTTAATATTTTATAGGATAAAATACGTCTGTTTTAATTCTCCTTGAACACCTCTATGTATTCGTTTCTTAAATATTTCCTTTGCTTTAAATCGTTAACTATGAAGAATATCAAAAAATAGTTCAAGTAAATGTTATTCAGTTTGATAAAAGCTGTTTAAATAAAAAAGATTAACATAGCATTACGTTTAAAAAAGACGACGTTCGTTTATTCTAACTCTATGATACCCATTTAAAAAAAAAATTTATACACCACACAATCAGGCACTTTGTACCATTTAATTTGAAAAAAGAATTAGGCTGATAGCTGTTATAGTTTCCGAGATAATAGGTTGTAACATTTTATTTAACTCACCCTGTATATACTAACTTAGCTTTTATTAATGATTTCAAGTAATAAGAACATTATCGTATTACGTATTGCATTTCGATCCAAATATTTATTTCTATTGAAATGAAATTCTACAAATTCACGAAAATTTTATTATTTATTTAAATAATTCTTGATAGGAGTTCAGTCCACATTTTAAAGGAACCAGTTTGGGCCTAATTATTATACCAATGGTGTGCACAGAATTAAATATTTAATGGTTTTGCAGAAATGCTAAACGATACGCTTTTCTTAAGTCGAAATGATCCCTAACATCCCGCGCGAGATCTCCAAAGAGGCTAGGAATTAGCCTATACTCATTGCTAATTGTCGAAACGACGTCACGAAGCTCGGCCATCGGTTGACCTCTGTTCATAACTCGCTTTTACGAATGTGGGTTGCGGGGGCGATTGTAGGCGGTGGAGAAAAGCCGCGTGGAAAACGTGGATCAATACTTTGATATTGGACGAGTACAGCGCCACTTCCGGTCGTCGAAGACGCGTGTGCAACCGAAACCGAAGAGCGCAACTCTGAAGGAGCTCTTCGTCGTTCTTTCTTGACAATCGTTGCACAGGTAAGTTCTGTCATCATCTGTGTGTATCTTGAATCTTTGAGGCTGTTATAAAAAAAATTCAATGTTACACCTGTAGAAGATTAATTTTGAAACTGCAAAGAACTTTCAGGGTGATTTTCTTATTGTGAAAACAATTGATGGTTTTAATTTTATTATGATTAATGTTAAAAATTGTGAGCAGGAAATTTAGTGAATTGTTGGTGTTTCTTGACGTTCTTTGAAAAATTTAATCACTGATTAGGACTGACAATGAGTACAATAATGCTATTAAAGCATTATGTAATAACATTGTATAATATAATTATGGTATCAGTGTTATTATTGTTATGCAATATGTTTAACCGAAATAGCAATATTTAATAATGAAAGCAGTTGTGATTGGACAAAATGTTCTTTCTTTCAGAAAATGTGACAATACTTTACTACAACAATTTACTTCAATTGATATTTAATTAACATATAGTTACTAACTTACAGATATCCACATTTGAAACCATGTACTGGATCCTGTTTCTGTCTGTGGCTGTTGCTGTTCAGGCATCAATCTACTTGCCTCCTCCAATTAAGGTAACACTTTACCTTTAAAAATTTAACCAACTTTGCACATTTCAATTCATTAACGCGATCAATCTAGGTAATGATCATAAGATGCCAAACTGTTCGAATTCAACGTCCTGGTGATATCATAAGATTCCTCGCTCAACACGCAGAGTATTGATAAAAAATATTGACCAATCATTGCTTCCGCCAGGCGTAACAGAAGTTCTAGATTAGGATAACAGTTCAAAAGCCATATAAGTCCAAGAGGGCCTTAATCCTCGGACGGCGGACTATGGAAAGAGCCCCAATTTTAATTTAATGTGTATTTCATATTATTTCCATTTTCTTAATTTTACACTATTCCTCTAAAAATTATTCTTCCGATATATAAAATTTTTTCATTTAACTTTAGATTAATATCCTTGTACATAAATGTTCTATAAGTTTGTGTCTCGATTGATCCTCACTCTACTGTTCCGGCTGAACGTGTTAGTCCTTCCGCTACAGTAATCAATCATAGTCGTCCAACGTAAAGAATTTATTTTTCCTTGTCATTTGAACTATTTAAAACATTTTTATTTTGTATATTATAAGGAATCATGCTGTATATACTTAATATAAACATTAGGTACATGATAGTTGCCCTCTGATTCAAGGAGGATCAATTGCTGACCGATACTTTTCGGGAATTAATCAACCAAATGGGAAATGAGCTCGTGGACGCAGCTGACTCATATCTAGAACAGCAAGACAAACCTAAGGAAATTCGTATCGAACTACCCGCTGATTACGATGATATGGACACGTTGAACCCCAATCCCAGCATCCGTGATCAGGAATATTTACGGCACAGTACGTTATGGAGCCATCAACGCATGAACAATAATGATCAAGCAAATGATAGACAGATTAAACCTGGAAATATAAAATATATTAAAGATGAGAAGACGGAGAGTGCTTTGCCGGCATATTGCACGCCTCCGAATCCTTGTCCGGTTGGATATACAAGTAAGTAACTTATTGCTATTATTAGTATTGAGTTATTAACCCTCGGACGGCGGACCATGGAGACAGCCACAATTTTAATTTAATTTTGTATTTCATATTATTACACTGTTTCTTTAAAAATTATTATTCCAATATAAAAAACATTTATTTTACATTATTATACATTTCATTTTGGGTTAATATTCTTGTACAGTAATCCCTCCATCTGCACGGTAGATACGTTCTACAAAAACAGCGCGCAAACCGAAACCGCACACTGTGAACTCTACTTTGTATGGAACTATGGGGTAAAGTTTGTACAGTAAAGACTCGGTAATTGCGAAACGCTCGGGACCGTACTTTCGCTTATATTGAATTACGTCGTATTTGATATCATTTTAATCAGAAGAATTCCACAATTTTGTTAGTAAAAGTTATATAAAAAGAAAGCTAAATATAAAAAAGTTAGCATCCTCATGGTAGTTAGAACCATATAATACGCTTTTGATCTTTGCCGATTGTCGCGATCGGGCTTCTTTTTCTTTTTAACCGACTTCGAAAAGGAGGAGGTTACTCAATTCGATCAGTATGTATGTTTTTTTGTGTTTTTTTTTTCTGTGTGTGTTCACCGATTACTCCGAGATGGATGGACCAATCGGAACGAAACCTTTTGCATCTTGTAGGGTATGTCTTCCGATTGGTCCCATTAAAAAAAAATTTTTCATTTTTTCATTGTTATTGCAAAATACATGAAGTTTTTAATCTCAAGATTGGACGATTTCAATGATCTTTTAATATGTTGTCGGAGGCATGATTCTGAACAACTTTTTCCTTATACTTAATTAACGGAAAGCTTTAGTTTCCGAGATATTCGTGAAAAACTATTGTTACTAATACATTGAATTCTACGTATGCCTACGTGTCTCTACCAGTGTATGAGTCAGCATGCAGTCGCCGGTTCTCTACTGTTTCTTGTATACATGTATACTCTGCAAGGCAATTTCCGCGATGATCCCACTTGCAAAAATATATGGAACTTGTTAGCGTTGAAAACTATCGTTATTGCAATTAACCAATAAGAACGGTAAACCACCTTACGGCATCCTACAAATACTGCTCGTTCCACTAAAAAGTGTGAAATAAAATAATTTTTAACAAAAAATACAACCGACTTCGAAATGCACTAAAAAGTATGAAATAATTTCTACTTCATTTATACAAATACCCAACAGCTATTAATAAAACCTATTTACTCGTTAAATCGTATACTAAATACATTTCAACCTTTTCGGAGGCGGCGCAAAATTAATAATACCCGAATATACGATGATGCCAATAACGATTTGATAGGTTGCTGACGCCTGAACTAGGATCTTCCTAGTAGAAGAAAGTTTTTAATTTTGCGCCGCACTTGATCACGACCACGGTTTGAACGCAGAAGATACCCAACACTCTCGCGATTCGGCCCGCGCTAAAGGCGCGCTCTGATTGGCCAGTGTTTTTCGTTAATAACTCGAAACGAAGCTTTAACCAACATTTTGGCAAAGGAAAAAGTTGTTTATATAGAATCACCTCAGCAATATATAAAATATAGCAAACTGTCTGTTTAAAAAAATGTTATATTAAATGCTGTTTGTTACAGGTGAGAACAACTGCATTGTAGATTTTGAAAATACAGCTGCATTCAGCCGGGATTACCAAAGTGCACAAGATTGCATGTGCGACACCGAACACATGATGAATTGTCCTGTTGATTCTACGAATAGTAACAGTCTACCAAGCATGCACATTCCAAATGCCAATTTCAATCAGATTGTCGATCAGTTTCAAGCTGTAAGATACACTGCGATCAATATTTTTGTTTTTTACTTTTAAATTAAAGTAAATCAGGTCATCATAAAGACCTCTACATACTTGTTTCTTGTATTACTGCATTTCCATTCATTTCTGTTTATCATTTATATTTATAATTTATATTAAATACAAAGACTGCAAACTGCTGGTACATCTCTGTATCCGTAATGAGTCTAAAAAAGATTATAGCTATATGTATACTATATACATCAGTTTTTAATATCTTATTTATTGTTAGTTAGAAATAAACATATTTCCAACTTTTTATTTCAGGAGGATAATCCATTTTTCCGAGGTGAAAAGTTACCAATTGCAGCGAAGAAAGGTTTAAATGTTGTTTACTAAAATATACGGCATACCTCCTAAAACTACTTTAACGTATGAACCAAAAATGTTTTACAATGTATCAATAAATATCTTAGGTTCAGTATACCATTCCATAAAAGATACAAACATCAAACGGCAGATGAATTTATACCTATAAAGAAAGATATTACATAATTTAACGATGGTGGTGCTAAGATTACACAAATATTTTAATATTATAATAATAGTATTACCTCCAATGAGAAATGACTTAGAATCAATGTGTATATGTGTGTACATATTTTTAATCTAATATAGATGTGTGTTTAAGAATTAATCGTTTAAGAGAATCTTCAATTATAAAAATTACTGTTATTTCGTGGAATGGTAAGTAATAGTAAATGCAACAATGTTAAATAATTTATCTATCCGTGAAATATTTATGTATTTTCTTTTTCTTTAACAGGCAATATATCTCGTGAGATAAAAGATTTTATGAATTTTATAAATGTACTACTTGTCGACTGTATTTTAGTTCCACAGCGATATAGATCAAATACTTTCATCACTAAAGCATTCAGAAATACATTTTTTTTTTTAAAACAATACCTTGCATTTATTTTTCTTATATATAAAAGATATTTATCAACTAATTTGTCAAGAAAATAATATATATGTATATATATATATAATATTTTTACAATATTATTGTACTTCATTTATTGTATAAGATTATTTATAATTTGTTCAACTGTTGCGAACAGAAATCACATTCGTACAAAGTTCCTAATTATTAATAAATAACGTTCGCGTCGCCAATAAATTATGTTAATGACTGTAATACCTAATACATGCAGAACATTATCTATTTTCAAATAAATTATGTATAATCGTAAAAAAATTTAAACTATTAAAAATATTGTTACTGTTTTCTGAAACTCTTTAATATTGGATATATATTGTTTAATGCATCTTGCAGCTCAGTACGATTTTTTGCTCCTGAAATGTATATTACTTTATAAAAACCATAACAATTTTGTTTTTTCTTTTTAAATTAATTTAAATTAATTATATCTCACCAGTCAATACAATTTTCCCATTGACAAATATAAGTAATACCACTCTTGGCAATACCATTCTGTATATAAGACCCGGATAAAGCTCAGGTTCATAACTAGAAAATTGCCCATGTATATGATTTAAATTTTCCAGTTTGATTGGAAATTTTAAATCGCATGTGGCAACTATATTTTGTATTTTAAAGTTATAAAATTTAACCTGTAACAAATGCAGTTCAGTAAATTATACAGGTGATAAAAAATAATGAGATTATATTTTTGTTAACACATCGATACAAAGCATCTTACTTGAAATCCTAATTTTTGAATTATTCGTGCAAACTTTCTTGTTGCTAAGTAAGAATCTTCTTCGCACCTTGCTCCGGTACATACTAATTTTCCAGAATGAAAGATCAATGCTGTAGCTCTAGGATTTCTAATTCTCATAATTAAACCTGTGAATCTAGCTGGATTATACTCTGAGTTCCTTGTTCTTGTGTTAATATACATGAGTTTTAATTCTGTACCTAAGTTAACTGTAGAAACTACATTTCTACAACAAAAAATAAAAAAGATTACTTTACATATCATAAAATTGTATTCAATCTGTAATAACTTGATTATTGTTTTTAAATCCAAAATAATTAATTTATCTTAATTATTACAAAATGCAGCCATGCAATAGTCCTTACCAGAATAAAATAAAACTTACAAACTTCAGTAACTTTCTCACTTACTGTAAACATGGTTCTATAACTTCTTTTGTACTATGAGCAGGAGTCAGTGGATTAATCATTAACTGTGGATTAACATTTTGCGATGTGCTCGGTCGTGGGACATTTGTCTACAATTTACACATTAGATTAAAATTAAAAAATTAGAAACAAGTGGTTCAACGCGTGTAACATATTTTGTAATTTACCGATTGCGGCGGAGCCATCGAACATTCCTCCCCAGCATTTTTTGCAGGGTTATTCAATAACCTTTTTAATTCGTTGTCTTCTTGTACAGCAGTAGTCATTTTATCTATTTTCGTTATTAAATGAACTCTTTCCACTCATATGGACCACTAACTATTTTGAACGCCATTTACAATCATTCTGACATCTTAAACGCCATCTGCATCTGATCAGCTGATCATTTAAAGTACTTACATTTAAAGCACACTAACGATAAGGTCAGATCCACACTATCGGTTCGGTTACGGTCCGTTCTCGGTCCGGTATTTTACTGTACTCATACTGCTATGCCACTTTCGAGCCGCTCTCGATCATGATAGTGAATTATAAAAAGTTTTTTTCGATTGTATTTTTGGCATTAATAGATGTAAATTATAAATTCACTACTGTAGATATGGATTCATATGGAAAAAATAATAATGGTGGCATTTTCGCAAACTCTGCTTTTGAAAGAAATTTACAAAGTCGCAAATTGAATGTTCCCGAGGATTCTCCGCTGTCAGATACAAATACAATAGCACCTTATGTGATATTAGGTAATAAAGTATTTCCATTAAAGAAATATTGGTAATTATTGAGATTAGGTTACACCTCACCGATTTTGATGAAATTTAAATATGTTGTAAAACTCAATATTTTGAACAACCTTTTCCTATACACATAACCGCCGGCCTTAGTTTTCGAGATATTTTCGAAAAACTGCTACTACTATTCAATGAATTCTACGTATACCTATGCATGTACGGCGGCGTATGCGTTACCATTCGACCGCCGCTTATCTACTGTTTTCACAAATACATCGCGGCGGTCGAAAAGCCATAGATATAACGGGTGACCTTTTTAACACGGTATTGACGGTTTATATTTCTTTAATCTATAGATACATATTGCGTCCGAAAAAGTTCAAAATCTAGACGCATTGGCACCCCTTTCCCATAAATTATAACCTAACCTAACTTATTTACCCTATTTACATATTTACACAGTTATGCATCCTCCATCAATAGAATAAGAATGTAAGGTTAGGTTAGGTTATATTTTATGGGGCAGGTGTGAGGCCCCGCCTACGCCTTTAAGAATCCAATGACTGCTATTTGTTCTACTGACTTTGTAAGATGGTTTCGTAACCATCATTTGTTTTAAAACATTTACCCGTTATATCTATGGCTTTTCGGCCGCCGCAATGTGTTTGTGAAAACAGTAGATAAGCCGGATAAGCGGCGGTCCGTTGCTGTCGCATACGCCGCCGTAGATGCATAGGTATACGTAGAATTCATTGTAGTAGTAGCGGCAGTTTTTCGAAAATATCTCAAAAACTAAGGCCGAGCGGCGGTTATATGTATAGGAAATAGTTGTTCAAAATGTTGAGTTTTACAACATATTTAAATTTCATAAAAATCGGTGAAGTGTAACCTAATCTCAATAATTACCGAAATATTGAATGCGGGCTTATCTAAAAGATCAAAAAGTATAGAAGATATTGAAAAAAGAATGTTTAATTATCGATTATGTAGAGGAAGAAGATTAGTCGTGTGGGCATTTGGGATTTTATCACAATAACATTCAGAGTTTATTGTAGAAGACTAAAAGCTGATCCTGAAAATGCCACTACAATTATTTTAACGACATGCATTCTGCATAATATTATTAGAAATTGTCGATCTATAATTTGCGAAAAGAATTCGGAATATATTGAGACAAATCATGTAAATACAATCTACGAAGCCAAGGTGGAAATGCATAAGCTGAAGCATTTCAAACAAGGGAGCGCAGTCACGCCAAATCACGCTCCAGGAAAATATTCTTCGTGAGTGAACGGAACCTGACCGCGATTGGAGCGTGATCTGATCGGAGTTGGTGCGGACGCTTTTACCGGACAGAGAGCGGACCGACCGTGACTGAACCGATATTGTGGATCGGGCCTAAAAGATATATATGTAAGTAAGTACTTACACACATGTAATTATGCGTAGAGTAATACAGAATTTAAATTTTCAAACTAACAATAAGCGTTATTTAATAAGATAATACAAATAACATAATTTATTATATTAATAAAATGTATAAAAGATTCTGTAATAATTTTCTATTTTTGAATCAAATGTTGTCACACTTACTTATGTCGTCCGGTACAGGACCAAGTTTTGAAATTATTATTTTGTTTATGTATATTTAACTATTCTATACATACTATACTATATTATTCTAATCACCAATTATATTCAAAAGTTTGATATGATTACAGTTGCTATTAGCAACCGTAAACTAAAATATAAGAAGACATTTACGAAGAGTATTTTAATTAGTACACAATATAAAAATACGGTGTTCTTTAAAAGTTGATTTAATTGGGATAATTATTAGATTTACAGTAATAAAGTGACAGTCATCATGAGCTTGATCTTTGGTAGCGGTGACAGTAACAATAATTTGAGTGTTATTATTTTTGACGCTTCCAAAAACGAAAGAAAATTGAATGAAGAATTCAAAGTGTTGCAAAGAAAATTAAAATCAAAATGGAAATTCATTGAGTGTGTAAATACATTGATATTATTTTAACTAAAAGTAAAATATTTTCTATAGTTTTAATGTATTTTAGAAATAACGATGTCTTAACAGAAGAGTCATTATCAACAGGAAAAATATTGATACTACCAGAGCCGCGAAATAAATTTACCGAATTAGAAATGAATTCTATTAGAGCATTTTTAAATTCTGGCGGACACGTATTAGTTATGCTCGGTGAAGGCGGTGAGAAAAAGTCAAATACAAACGTGAACTTTTTATTGGAAGAATTTGGCATAATGGTGAACAATGGTGAACAATATTATCACCTTACAATCATTCAAAATGATACAAAGAATTGAATGTAACTTTAATTACTTAATTTTTAGATAGTGTAATACGTATGAGTTACAGTCAAACAATGCATCCAAAGGAATGTTTTATTTCACAAGGAATGTCAAATAAATCAATATTTTCGAAAAATCATAATGAATACATGTAATTTTAATCAAATATGAAATACTAGTTAAATTATTTAATTTACAAAATAGAAATAATATGACTATTTGTTTCAGGGATATGAATTTTTTATATCCATATGGCGCAACTTTAAATGTCGCACAACCTTCTGTAGTTGCATTATCCAGTGGATCTATCACCATTCCAACAAATAGACCTATTTGTGCATATCATTACAATGAAATAAATGGTGGAAAATTACTTGTTTTAGGTTCATCAAGAATGTTAACTGATACATACATTGAGAAAGAGAAAAATGATTCATTGAGAGAAATGATATTTGACTTTTTTGAATCAAAAGAAATTGTGGTCAAAGAATCACAAATGGATGAAATAGATGTAAGCTTTAAAATTCTATTATCTGTTTCTATTTTTTGTATATATTATTACTAATAATCACATTGTTTATCCAGTTCTGGGAGTACAACTTAATCCCAGATATAACACAGCAAGCAGATAATCCAAAAGTGTGTACCCATGACATGGATATGATGGATAATCCTCATGAATATACTAAACTGTTTAAACATCATTTTTATTCAATAAATTTAGACATGGTACCAGCTTGTATAAAAGCTTATGAAATTTTAGGACTGAAACATGAACCACTCACCTTAATTCCGCCACATTTTGAAGCTCCTTTACCACCTACTCAAGCTTCAGTAAAGTTTTTTATTAGTATATTGATTTTATTATTATGTTTTAAAAGATGTGATTTAAAAACTTTGTTTACAGGTCTTTCCACCAAGTTTTCAAGAATTACCACCACCAGCCTTAGAATTATTTGACTTGGATGAAGCATTTAGTTCTGATTTATTGAAACTATCTCAATTAACAAATAAGTACATGGCAACAAAAGATTTATCAAAACATATGGAACTGAATCATTACATTAGGGAATTTGGAAGTATTATAAGAATTAGTAATTCTGATACTGATACTGCAAAAGAAGTATTAAACTCTGTCTTTCAAAGTATTTGCAGTTACAAAGCTATGCATGAATGAAAAAAGGTCATATAATTGTAAATACCGTATATTTTTGCTTTGTATTTATTATATTTATATGAAATAAGTGTAAATATGTATATTTATGAAACAAATTTATTCTGTAATATCATGTGTTGTAATAATACATTTTTGAAGTATACCTTACCATTCCATTTGGTCATAACATTATTTTTTGAATTTTAAATTATATATTATTTCCAATTACAAAACAGTTTTCAAAATTCTTCAAAGCAGCTTGTATGTAAACATTTGTAAACTATACATTTCTGCCATCTACCGTGAGTATACTAAACTTGAAAGTAAAATAAAATTGATTATAATCATGGCAGTGTTTTGCTAGTGCAAACAATAATTTTGTTGTGAATATCTTTCATAGCGAATAAACCAAAATATTTACACTTTATTTAGTGTTACTTACAGTTAGCAGGATGATTTTCATAATTTGAGGAATTTTATTTTGTATTATATCAAGCATTAGCTGTAAAACATGTCGGTATTTTTCGTAAATGCGTAAGTAATAATGTTTATTTCTATATTAGGTTATATGCATTTAAGTTTATTATAGTTAACCAAGTATTTATTAACATTACTAACCATTCAGTAATCAAGATAGTGAAGTTGAAGGAGATTCCAATGGAGATCTTCAAATTGCATCACCAGGTAGTTCTGAAGCTCAACAAGCTTTGGCCCAATTTTGGCCAAAGGTTACAGAAGAAATTAAAAAAATTACTACTGTACGTAGGGGGTTAACTGTTACATATATTTCATAATTATTAATAGTTTATAAATTTGTAGATGGATTTAAAAACACAGTCATTACCATTGGCTAGGATAAAGAAGATAATGAAATTAGATGGTGATGTAAAAATGATAAGCGCAGAAGCTCCTATGCTGTTTTCTAAAGCTGCAGAAATATTTATACATGAGCTAACCTTGAGGGCATGGGTTCATACAGAAGATAATAAAAGACGTACTCTTCAACGGAATGATATAGCCATGGCAATAACTAAGTATGATCAGTTTGACTTTCTCATTGACATAGTGCCTAGAGATGAATTGAAACAAAGTAAAGCACAGACCGAAAGTACTGTACGCACTTCTATGAACTCGGATCAGGTACATTATTATTTTCAATTAGCGCAACAACAAGCTTCTGTTAATCAAAATGTACAAAGTGGTAACACTGCTACACAACCTATACAAATTGTACAGCCTTCTACTGGACAGATACAAACAATCAATATTGGTAGTCCTGTAGAACAGGTATATTTTCTATTTTTTATAGAAAAGTATTTTAATTATTTACACTCATTATATTCATTAATTATTATATTTTGATTTCAGGAGACTACTGGTGGAAGTACAACACAGACTGTAACAGTGCAGAGTCCACAACAATCGTCAGGACAACAAATTATACAACTACAGCAAGCTCAACAAACACCTACTACACAAACTGGAGGGATACAAATTGTGCAACAAATTGTGACACCTAGCGGCGAAATTCAACAAATACCTGTATGCACATTTCTCATCGTAAAATTGTTAATTTGTAAGTACTTTGGTATTCGTACAGAAATTTGTATATTATTTCAGATACAGTTGACACCTCAGCAACTTCAAATGATACGTATGCAAGTACAAGGTGGAAGTAATCAGCCAATCATAATACAAACTGCTCCGATACAAGCTCAACCTCAATTAATACAAGTTGCACAAGGTGCCCAAGCACCAGTCTTCTTACAAACTAGCGGAACTGACAATGAGTAAATATTAATTAATTTTAAGGAATATTTAATATCTAGTACAACAATCTTAAATTTAAAACAGGATAAAACAGTAAAGATAAGCTTGTATGGTAAGGAATAAAAATTTTTTTAAATTATTCCTAAAATAAAAGCATTTCCATTTGTCTGTTATCCCTGGTATACCACAATATCTTGAAACAAAAAGAAACATTAAAAAAATTGATGGATATTTGTATTTTATTTGACGTTACAATGTAGTTATCATTTGATACAACCTTGCTTATTGTTCTCTGCAAGCAGATACTTGCAGAAGGTGCTCAACAAAATGTAAAATTATTAAATAGTGAAAGTGTAGTTTTTGATCGTTTAAAGTGCTGATCGTCGAAAGTTTTGATCGTTTAAGAGCTGCGTCCAAGGACGAATATGTATCACGAGCCGGTTATAAGATGCCGATCGAAGGGTTGTCACTGAAGCGAAATGAAGTGAATTGAAGCGAGGTAAGGTGAAGAATAAAGATAAGCAGCCAACGCAAGATGTAATCTGATTCGTACGTCGCGTTCCTTAGCCGCTGGCTGCTTCGCATGGCTGAGCTTAGGACTGGCTGGTGCAACTTGTATTATGTTTCACGTTGCTGCGGTTCTTGTCTGGCAAGTCTTGAGTTCGAAGCCTTCAACAATTTCGAAACGTCACGTAATAATAAATATATTAAAATTTATTTACATATTTGCAAGTCACATCGAAATACATTTCATAATTTAATCAAATAATAAGACAATTCCGTAAAATATTTTACAAACGTTTATGTATAAGTTTTAAAAATCCTGCGCAAATTTGAAAAGCTACGAATCTGATTCTATAACGTCATTTCAAAGATACAATCATCGTCGAAAAATAATTATAGTTGATATATTTTCAAAAGTTAAGAAAATATTCTTTGGAAAAAAAGTATCGAATAAACGGATATTATCTTGGTATCAGGAATATTTTTATAGCAATGCACAGTAACAGAAGGATGAATGCCCTAAGCAGGAAGACTAAGAGACAAGGAAGAGGGTAAGGAAGATGGTGGCACCTACAGAGGTCCTTTTATTAGCACGGAACAAAGATGTGCTCCATTTAGTGACGTTGTCACTATGGCCCTGGTTGCCAGGGTAACCATGTACTCGCAATGTTGCAGTCTCAACCTTGCTCGTCGAAGATTTTAATTCTTACTTCGAGAAGACTCCGACGGGTCCTTCCACCTCGCGATCTACGCCACTGCTTGAATACTCGGATTTCACGACATGTTTACAAAGATCCTAGAGATAAGTTGAGAATGGCCGCCGCAGCCCATGCCTCCTCCATGGGTGTAAGGTGACAGCTGCCTGCGCCTGCGTTACAAGCACACAAGGTGTCCGAAAATTAGCTTCCTATCTTGTTCGTAATTTATTCACCCACCTCTTACTTAAAAATAACCTTTCTTAAGTGCATTTAAAATTTTAGAATTTTAAAATATACAATAAACCAAATGTGACAATATTATAGAATAAATTAAATACTATATAAATTCATACATGAATTGACTTCTTAAAAAAGTAATTACGAATTAAATTTTATTGAACAGCTAGATAAAGGAAATAAATTATTCACATCAGAAAAAGATTAATGAGATTATTGGCGAAATTCTCCAGGTCCGATAATATCTGACTCAATGACTTTTATTACTGTCACTAATGCCGGGATTTCTGAGTTGTATAATCGTAAAAATTTCGTATTCTGAAGGCAGTAAATTATGTCGACAACAGCAGCGACACTTTTGAATGGTACACCCCATATAAGCTAACATACGTTCGTACATACCTACCAGGGCGAATCTTCTAGTTGTGTTTGTGCGCGACCCCCACCCCCACTCACACATACACAAAAAGGAGAGAGATATCTCGCTTACTTGGCCCGGACTGAACTCACCCGCAGGATCTCTACACGTGTGTGCACTTATTTTAACAGGATCTTACCGTGAGGATGTATACGGTTCGACAGAAAACAAAAGGCCACCTTTTTACCGGAAAAAGAAAGCGCTTTCACTTTTTTTTCCCTCTTCCTGTTGTTGTTAAGGTTAATGGTACTTCGCCGTTAACGAAATTTGATCTAAAATTGCGTGTTTCTATAGATATTTTCGATTTTGAAATAATTTCAGTTGTTTAATTCTTAACATTAAAGAAATACATACTGCAATATAAAATAATTGCATTTAGCAATAAAAATAAAAATCTGGCATATTTTATTAACCCTCGGACGGCGGACCATGAAGAGAGTCTCAATTTTAATTTAATTTTATATTTCATATTACTTTCATTTTCTAAATTTTACACTGTTCCTGAAACTCTTTCCTTAAAAATATCATACATCTAACTTTAGATAGTTCAAGGATTAATAGATACAAAAAACTTTTAAAAATAAATTAATTGCCCTGATCATGTAAGTGCTTTTCAAGTACTTGTTTGCAAAATGTTTCACCTTTTCTGGTTAACAAATACCAGTTGAATTTTCACAAATTTGACATTTATTTTTACAATAAATATCTATAGCAATAGTGTAATTAATTTACTTGAAAACCAAAATTCCTAGAAATTCATGATAATATTTGGACCCTTCTGGATAGGCATAACCATTCTTTTTAACCGACTTCGAAAAAGGAGAAGGTTACTCAATTCGATCAGTATTTTTATTTTATTTTTTTTCTTATGTTACATCATATAATTTAATTAAAATCAATAAAATAATTTTAACCAGCTTTACGGCACAATTACTCCTCTGTGCAACAGTCGATTTCCCTGAAGAGAAAGAGGAATGAAATCAGTCGTTTGGACATTAAAAGGTGTATGTGCTATACCTGGACCTCGACAAAGCAAACACTGTGCCCCGTACTCGTACATTTTTTCCTAGAGCGTTCGTTCGTGTGTGCACCCTTGGGTGGTCGCGTACGTAGAGCATTTATACACATGTACGTACGTTAGAGAAATAGACCGCAAGCATCCCGCATACTTGGAGAAGAGCACGGTTACTTGCATCGTCGTATTTATCTGTACAACACAAGGGTTGTGTCCTGCGAACGTATATAGATTCACGGTGGCATTATATCATAAAGGTAGTAACCCCCATTCCGCCTCCTTTTTCTCCAGCGAGGCAAACCCGGCTGCCTTCGACCAACCCACAGGATGTTGACGCCATTTCTCCTTTACGTGCCTTCCTTTATTACCTTCGATCTTCGTCGAACGACTCTTGGGAAACTCGACGACATCCATTTCGCGTAACACTCCCCCGCGAAGTATATTGAATTTGTATATACATACCCCTGGGCCATCGCGACACCACGATTACGTGGACGTTTTTTAAAGAACTGCGACTCAATCATTATTTACACATACAGCCGATGTTGAAATTATTTTACAATGATGTACGAATAGTTATGATTAACTAAAAACCACGCTTTATTCGGCAATTAATCTCTCTGATATAGAGAAATTTTATTATAAATTCTTACAATTTGTAAATTTTTTTAGTTTGCTCGTGTTTTGCAAGGAAGTTCAAATACAAATCTTATATACTTAAAACTATATTATACAATATATTAATTTTTAATTTTGAAAAACTCCTTTAGATGCACTTTTTGTTTATATTTACCCTTTAGTACTTACAATACTAAAAACTCCTCTAATTTTTACATTTTTTTAAATAAAATCCTTTTAAATATACATAGGTATGCCAGGTTCAACATGCATTTATTGAAGCAAAAGAAAACATTAATATAATTTACTGAGACAATCTTTTAATCAACTCAATATTTACGATATCTCCTAGATTATTGTTTTTCTGATTATAGTCAAAATAAATGGATACCTTAATACTTAAGTTTCAAAACAATTTAGGACACCTACCAAAATTTTATGACTGAAGTCATTAAAACGTTTAAATAAAAGTAATCTTTTCTCGTCATCAATATTTAATATATTTCTTCTATCCAATCATCCAATTATCCAATCATTTTAAAATTCAATACACAGTTTTCTATGATACATTTCTCAAGCTTTCGATAACACAATAATTTAGCAAAATAAATAATTATTAGCAAAATAATTTAGCAAAATAAATAATTAAATAATTAGAGACGAAGAAAGAACAAAATTAAAATTTTGAACCCAATATTTAACAAATCGTAAGGTATTTATATACAATAATTTATTTAAAAACCTTAGTAACATTATTAACAATAATCGAAGCTATCTCATAGAACCTCATATACATGTCCTCCATATTTCTTAAATATCACCTCTACTAATTTTGATGTTCCAATAACTAGTACATTATTATTTTACAAAATACAGACAAAAATTTTGTGCCCCTTGACCATAGACGTCTTTCGAATATTAAATATGTTTTTATTGCTTAGAACATTATATTTTCTTCAATTTAACTAATATTGAACACATGTATACCTGTAAATACATACAACAATGAAACTACATAATCTAAATAATTTATATTATATAATTAAAGATTTAAGATTATCAAGTATATAAATGTCCTAAGATTTTTTATATATTTAAATAATCGTATAAAACTAAATAATTATAAATGAAAAAAAAGAAGAATCATTTTTCAATGTTTGAAATTAGTTCTTTGAAAAATGTTGAAATTAATAAAAAATGTAGCTAGCATATGACAGAACCCATATAACCCATATGAGCTTCAAATTTTAATATTACATATATAAAAAAATAATCTTTTGTTATAAAATTTCAATGAGCAACCATTAGTTAGATTTTAATACGATAAATAAAAATAACAGCATCAGTTTAGAAGAAAGAGAACAGGTATCCAAACTATAACTGAAAATCTGTTTAGAACTTCCCTAAAGGATCTCCAAGTATTTTATTTGTCCAAAATTTGGAGGAAGATTCCTTGCATCCGCTGTACCGTAAAACTACGGTCAGATTAGGCGTACTTATCCGACCCTCCTGCACTTATCCGTCCTTATGTAAAAATACTAATCTTCTTTGTCGTTTGTCGACGGGTCCTCGATCGAGATCGCTTTTGTGTTTCAGTTATTTTCGCTTATCGGTTCTACAGGTACATAAACATGATCGAAATGTACGCTTGACGTTCTCTGCGGTAAATAAATACGAACCATGGCGACCAAGAGGAAACGAATTCGCATAATCACATTCGCTATCGTGTGCACTTTGATACGAAAAATATTACGTATCAGGGATGAGAGAGAGATAATAAAGCAACCGTGGCACATTCTCATCTGTCCCGCGTTCTAGCACATTCTTCTTCATCTCGCATTCTATTCCGTTCTTTGTTCAACCCTAATACGAGGATAATTATTTATTTTGTCGAATTATTACTCTATCGAAAGTGTAATTTATCATATAAAAGTGTATTTCCAATGAAAATTTGAAATATATTTAAATTAAAAATGGTAAATGTTCGGAAGTGTCACTCCTGTCAGAACCGAGCTGATTATTTTTTGTGTGGTTTCTTACAGTTAAAAAACATCATATTTAATATTATTATGGCAGCGCATCAACAAAAACAATATCAATAAATATTTTTTTAAAGATTTTTATTCGTAGATCTTTCGAACTTTTTTTCAAGATTTCTAAAAGAAATATTCTGTTCTTTCAAAATACAATAGACATACAAACTATTTTGACAATTCTTCATTATAAAATTGCTGAATAGCATCGAAGATGGCATGTACGCGTTCACTGTGCGCGGTGAAAACTCGACGGAATAGAAAATCGGCAATATAACCAGCCATGTGGTAATCACGTCGTCCGAATTTTGGGATATTACCACGGCAATTCCAGATGTAAACAAAAAACAAAACATCCCCCACGAGTTGAACAGTAACATATTAAATCCGTTTTGCTGACTGGGGGGCTGCCCCCCCCCCCCCCCCAATAGCTACACTAACTAATACCGATAAATATGTTACTTTGTAAATTGTGTTTATTATTTCCTTATATTAGATAATGGGTATATTTAGGGGGGCTCTGGAGGGCTCAGCCCCCCAGTCAGCAAAACGAATTAAATATGTTACTGTTCAACTCGTGAGGGATAAAAAAAAAATCTTTAAAAAAATATTTATTGACATTGTTTTTGTTGATGCGCTGCCATAATAATATTAAATATGATGTTTTTTAACTATAAGAAACCACACAAAGAAAAATCAGCTCGATTCTGACAGGAGTGACACTTTCGAACATTTACCAACACGATAAATATATCATTAAGGCAAAAATTAAACGAAGCAAAAATTTTATGTTTGTTCTTATAAAGATAATTATTTATTTTACGAAATTATTGCACTATTGAAAGCATAATACATTATAGAAAACTGTACATACACTGAATTTTTAATAATATTTAATAATAGTTGAATAACTAAAAAATGTATTTGAAAATAATATTTGTACCAAATATTGTAAAAGGATATGACGAATGTATCTACTATACATTGAAAATCTTCCGCTTATTTTGAGAAGGTTATTTGCACTTAAAAACCCATAAGTATGTTGCTAAATTCAAAATAACTAAAAATATATTTGTATCAGATATTATATCAGAGGATGAGAAAATTACTGTTTATTGAAAATTCTTCATTTATTTCATAAAGGTTATTTACACATAAAAATACCGTAAATATCATTCTAAACTAAAAGTTAAATTAAAGCAAATTCAAATGCAAATTAGAAAAATAAAATATTAATATTATAACTTGAAATGCTTTAATATTTTGAAAAATTTCATGGTAACATTATCCAAAGGAAATTTGAGAATCCCATTTAGTCGGTATAAAATTCAGAACGAGTATAAGTGCAGGTGGTGCGAAATTAGGTTGCTACCCCTGTCTCTTCTTAGCCTGATTATCATAGTCAAAAATAATATTATCTCTCGCGGGGATACTTTCATTACTTGTAATTTTACACTTCGCAAAAATATTTTCAGTTCGTCAAAATAATAAAAAGAAAAAAGTTATGATTAAAATGATTTAAATGATTCATTTAAAAAAAATTCCTGATAAGTTACTGTCAAACGTTAAGGTTAATCTTTTGTTTTGAAAAAACTTATATTTTAACGCGCAATGACAGATGGGACAAGCATCTCGCGCCACTTTTATCACGATATAATCGATAAAGAGAGAAAAAAGAAAGTAGGCACATTCTCGTTCCAAGAAGCGAGCAAGTATGACGTAGGGTTGGCTGGACCTCCCGTCAAGAATTCTCTATCTCCGATTATAAAACAAAGGGGGAAAAAACACACACGTAGCACGCAGGATCGCGATGCAAAACAACAACGTGGACGATCGTTGTCGCTTCACATCGTCCGGCACGTTTATTCGAGAAACCTGTCCCGTACGAAAAAGAGACGTTAAATGTGAGAATTATCGTGAACACCGGCAGACAATATGAACGAATCTAAAGAAGTCACCACCAGTTGCCAACAATATGATAAAAATTCGTATATTAACTCCTATGTATCCTTTGGACCAAATGGAAATTAAATATTTAATAATTCTTTTCACAAAACCTTCTATTTATGAGAAATCTGCTATCTTTTGTTAAAGATACTCGATGAATATATTCATCGGCGTGATTTCATTGGCGTAATTGAATTGAAATTTATTGAAAATTTAACTCATGTGTCAGATTTCCCGAAGTTATATTTACCTAAATTGCACGTGTCATTATCAAGATGTTCTATAAAGTAGAAGGTACCTTATAAAATAAACCATTCATTTATTTATTTATATACAAAATTTTGTTGTAGTCATCAAAGAGTTCGGTATACCATTATAGAGTTAAGTTTTATATGCCTTTCCTTTGAATGACGAGTTAATTTGTCTTCGGTTAACAGGTTAAACGAGCAGCCCCTTCGGTCACGCTAATTCCATATATAACTCCGTTCCTTTCCGGTTATCAAGATTCTGAGTTTCTTTATAGTTATTATTCAAAAATGAAATCCGACGTAAATAAGAAGAAAAAAGTTGTTCCTTTCCGGGCTGTCAGTCGAGTGCGATTCATAAAAACGAACGATGACAGGAGGTGACAATTATTCGAACGAGGGGGTAACTTGGCTGTATTTCTCTTCTCTGTTCACTTTTGGATTCGTCCTTTGTTGTATTTTCTCTTTGTCTGACAATCGAGTGGCCGAGCGAGCTGCCATTAGCCCCCTCTCATTCTAATTAACGAGCGACCTGTGCGCGTCCGATGGATGAAACGGGACAGTGAACAAGACTACCATAGGTAGAACGAAGAGAAACGAAAGGGACAGAGAGGGGGTACGAACGAGGGAGTAAGACGGGAAACGAGTCGGCCAACCACGTGACCAACGGACAGGGGGTGGCAGGCGACATTTCGCATGCTCAGAACTCTACAGGCTGCAGCATATCGCACACCGAGCGATACCCTTCGCAGGGAAACAATAGTACTAGCTGCGTTCGCGACAGAGAGAATTCGTCAAAAGAATCTCGAACGGAAAGTGCATAACCTAAAAAAGATCAACTAACCACTGTTCGCTTCGGTTCGACGAATCAGAACGTACCTTTGCAAGCCGGCTTCCATGGTTTCACCCTTCGCGCGGATACAGCTACGGGAGATGTATTCTCGCGAGATCATTCGACGAGCTTTTCCGATTTATCCGTTTCGTTTCTAGTTTCTTCTGGCTAGCAACAATCGAATCGACTACCGTTTCTGTACACATCGTCGAGAACGATCGGTGTTGGTGTGTCCGTCGGTCGTCATGATGTTCTCGTGGTCGTGGAAAGTGCGAGAAAAGTGAGAGGTAGTGTGCTTAAACCCTGGCAAGTGCGCGGATACACGCATTCACTTATACACAAAGCGAGAAGGGATGACGATGCTGCTATCAGGAGGGAACCAACTACAGCTTCCTTGATCCACGAATATTCCTCTACGAAATACCCTCGCTTGGTCCAGCATAAACACCGGATACAAGGTTTGAACAAATAACAATTGAAAATCATTGCGCGCGATAGTCTTTACAGGTATTTAGTTGCTACGTTCTCAACTATAATATTATAACATGTTTTTAAGAAATGTTCTTTTTCAAAAACCCATAAAAAGAATTCATATTTTTTATCTAACACAAACTTTCTTTCTTTGTACATTTCATATAAGACTGATGCTAAGTTATTATCCCTCACACGGCGGACCATGGAGAGAGCCCCAATTTTAATTTAATTTTTTATCTCATATTATTTTCGTCGTGTAAAGCTCTTTAGCTTAAAAATTATATATTTAATTTTAGATTAATATCCTTGTATATGTTTTGTAAGTTGGAATCTCTCGATTGATCCAGACGCCGCTGTTCAAGAGTTAAGCGAAAGTAATTATTTTATTTTCGAAATAGCAACCGCGAAAGAGTAATCAAAATGAAATTGGGCATCGTGTGCCACGTGGGAAGCACGATGGCATCGAATGTTTCATACCTTCCTTAAATTATTAGATGTACGGGAGTCACGCGCACTACGCGGATGTGCCGCGGCATACGAAGGCGCATCCGTGCACACGCACACGTGTAAACGTCATTATCACTTGAGCATGCGTAACTTATGCATCTCATTCGGCTCGTTACCAGTAATGTATTTTAATTGGTCAACCGCTACGTAGTGTTAAGTAATTCGTTCTGAAAAACCGCGTAATTTTCACACGATCAAACGTTTCTTGCTCAACGAACGAGCCTTCGATGGGATATTTCCAGATAAAATATACAGGGACGAAACATAGAATGTTTTTCGAACATGTTTGCGATTTCCATGGGCTTGTAGACAACGCGGAGAAAAGCCAGGGCATTTCGGACGAGGAGCTTTTGTCTTGGACCGTGGTTGTAACCATCCCTCCCTTTAGTTTTCTTTTTTCTTCCCTTCGAATGTAAGCTGCCCACGGTCCTTGGGACACGAGTGTCGCACACGAGAGACCTAGCTACGCATTCCTTTCGTTTCGCTGCATTTCTTTGACGACTGACGGACTGACGGACTGACGGACAAGCAAGCTAAGCAACTTGCACCGCTCGCTTTGTTTAGATAAGCAACATCGCCTTTCGTATTTCCTCTCCTGCCACTTATTCCGAAAAATAAATAATGGATACCTATAATTTCCAGCGACTTTGCTACGGCACGAAGTATGTACAGTGGTCCAGAACTGAAATTCAGCTGTTCGGACTTTGAAATAAACAGAATATGTAATCTGTAATTTTTTAAGTAATGGGATTTATTATCTTACATTGTGGTTATATTATAATTAAATGTCAAAAATATTTTAATTACAGTATGAAAAATATTTTTTTATAAACAAAAGCAAAGATAATTGTTATAGACAGTTGTAAGCAATAATAATAATCTATTATTGCAAAAGTCTATTATTTAATGTTAATTATTTAATGTAGAACTTTATAGTAGCCTCTTAACGCATCACGCAGTTCCGGCGACGGCTACGTTATGAACAATAATAATTTTCGTTACGAGACGAAGTGGGATGTAATTCTGGCATGATTATACGGGAAAAGTATGATGAAAATATTTCACTTTGTAAAAGTGTGGTACTATTTGAAACTCAAAAGATAATTCATGTCAGTTATGGAAAACTTTGACGATTCTCTTTAGTCTATTGTGTCTATTGAGTATTTTTTTTTTCCAATAAACTATAAACAAAAGATCCTAATTTAAGGTCCATTCTGATTAGGTATAGATAAATACTCTTCATTTATAATAATAATAATAATAAAAAAAAATGAACACGACATATTAAATAAGCTTTGCAAGGTATCAATAAAAACAAAGGTACATTTCTTCGGTGAAAAATGGTGTTCATGAAACGTTGATTTTTAAACTCTTATTCTAATCACAATCATTAATAAATCTCATTAATTCAATGTTTCAATCATTTTCGAAAGTGATGGACATTTGAAAAGCTAAATACATTCGGTAAACATCGATATGAGGAAATTGATTTTTTAGCAAATAAACAGCTAATTCTTCAGCTATGTGAACCTGACACCCGACCTTGAAATAATTAACTTTTTTTACGGAAAATGATAGTATTTTGTTTGTAGTTGATTGTAGTAACAATATTTTTCTTTTGTGTCAATTAATAAATAAACAAAATTGAAAAATTGACCCGCACCCAACATTCAGATATCTCAAATCGGTTTTTTCCATGTGATGGGGAATCGTTTGTAGTTGATTGTAGTGATTTCCGTTTCGTTTGTAGTTGAATAGTTTAAAAGTTATAGGCGATTGTTTATACGTCCAAGAAGCAACTTCGTCAATTTTTAATATTTTTAAAATCCGTCTTTTCCATCTGATTCAGAATCGTTTGTAGTTGTTTGTAGTGATTTCTCTATCGTTTGTAGTTGAATAATTTGAAAGTTATAGGCGATTGTTTATACGCCTCAGCCAACTTCGTCAATTTTTAATATTTTTAAAATCCGTCTTTTTCATCTGAGCGTCGCCTCACTTTTAGTTTCACTTTCAAATAGTAAAAACATCCTTCTAAGCCAGTGAATAAAATCAAAGTTTAAAAAAATTTATGGAATTTGTTATCTTTAATAACTATCGTTATTGCAATTAACCAATAAGAACAAAAGGAAAAGTCCAGAATTTTTAATTTGTAGAATTTTCAAACCTTAGACTTAAAATAATGGGGGGGACAGTCCTCATTTTTGGGGGTGGCTAGGTTCACCCTGGCTCCTACCCAATTACGCCGATGGTAAATAATAGTTTACATTAATGTAATTTTTCTATTTTATTATCTTTACTTCTATAATTATAAAAATTTCGTACATCATTTCAACAGAATGTGTGTCTATAATAAAAGAAATCTTGATAGGTAAATTATGAAAATAGTAATTTTGAAAAGTCGAAACTAAATTATAAAATTTTAATTTGTTGCCGACACAGAACAATTAATAACACGAAATAAACTTTTCTAGGAGCGAAAAATATCATATGAATGTATTGTGTATGATTTGTAGAACATTGGGACCATTCGTAAACATGTTTTTCTCAAAACCACTTCTTTGAAATTGGCGTTCAACATAATTCAGTGCTACCGATACAGAAAATGTAAATACTTTCTTCAGGTAATGAAACTCTACAGAAAATGAAATTGCTTGACCCTCTAGCGATGTTACGGGTCGTTTAATACCAAACAAAAATTTCATCTTTCAGGATTGTTTTCGAATTTTTATTTTTATTGCAAAATTGATTAAACATTTTGCTTAACTAACATTTGTAATTAAATTAAAGACAATAAATATGTTAGAATTTTTGCAGATTTTTTATAATCTGGAACATTAAAAAATTAGCTTCAGAAACAAAAGACCATATTGCCAGTGGAGGATTAATTTCATTTGTTCAAATTCATAACAAGGTGATAAAGCCATCGCCAAAATCGATACTGATTCCTACCACATTATCAACTTTACAATTTTCCCTCCAATTCAAGTCTGATTACCTGCGTACTTTCTTTAAAAAGAAAAATCTTTGCAAGTTTTTGATTTCAAATAAATAAACAGTTACTATTATACACGCCATACAATATAAAAAAAACATCTTTTAAATTTCAAATGAATTAAATATATAGTTGCTGAAAAAATACAAACTTTCAGCTCTTGGACTTTTTTATTTTCCAACTTCTAAGATGAAAGCACTATGTATATAAATTTAATTTACTAATTTTAACGCGTTGAGTGTTACAGGGGTCACTGGTGACCGACGCGACGCGTAATAGGACAAAACGGTTTTCGGCGATCAAAAGTCGATTTTCACGTATTCGAAAATTGAAAAACTGTTTACGTACATGGATAGAGAACAAATTGATGTTTAACGTAGTGCAATCCGTTTTTTCATATTTGCTATAGTTTTGCTGTGGTCCGTATTCAAAGTCAGTAGAAATTCGTTAAAACAAAACGCTGATGATATTACTCGTAACTTCAATGTACGATTCTACAGAACTTTACTCGGAAAGATGAAATTCAAATGAATTATAAAGTTTACTAGATAAAGTAAGCTAAAATGTTAACAACTTTTTAAAATAATAGGATCTGATTGAAACGAAGTACATTTAACTAAAATCTTGACTTTGTGCACGATTTTAAAAAGTTGCAAGAACTTGAGATAGGTTTAATTATTACTGCAGGAAAGGGTGAACCTTCCTCTATCAGAATCAGAAGAAATTGAGTGCAACTTCGGGCAACTTTTCAAGAAAATGGCGATTGAATTAAATTACACCCATATTGGCCGTTGCGCACGATTGTGGAAAAGCAGTACTAGATACGATTGTTAACCAATTAACTGCATTCGACGTGTATATTCATCATCCAAAACTTTATTTCGGTTCAGTAAAAATGATCAATGTTCAATAAAAATGTAATCTTACCTTGCTTTTCTATACTTTTTTCGTAAAAATTATGATAGGAGCTGTTAGATTATTTCATTTAAATAATATTCTGACAAAAATGAATCGTACATTGAGAAGCATTGCCCTTTGTATTAGTAAAAAAAGAACCGATCGGAAGGGCTTCTAACTGTTTATACCATGAGGCCTGGGTCGTTCTCTTTTTTTAAAGATTTTCCACTGCGTTGTCTTCTATTGACTTCACTTCTTGTGTATCATTCGTATAGTTCAGATGTCTTTCCAAGCTTCAAAAATAAATCGTTAAAAATCGGTACAAAACTGAGTTTTCCAATAGGAGCATTTGCCCTGCGTTCAACGTGTATACTCGACATTGCTTGATTTTAATTACGCATCCCGTGAGAGACTTTCAAAACTAAATCCCACAGTTAAATAGTCAATATGTCGATATTAACTTGTCGATCCTTTCCACAGTGATTGTAATTTAACGATCGCGACAATCTTCAAGCATCTACTACCAGCCATCCTGTTAAGTACCAGTTGTGCCAATCACAACAACCGAAAAATTTCCCGGAAAAAGCA